CCACAGTATTGTCTGTGTCCATGGGTTATGCATATATGCATATAAGTTGTTTATCTCTTCCCCTCTCCTTTCCCTCTGAGATTGGTCAGTCTGTTCCATGCTTCCACATCTCTGAATCTATTTTCATCAGTTTATTTTGTTTATTAGATTCCACATATAATTGAGATCACATGATATTTGTCTTTCTCTGACTGGCTTATTTCACTTTGCGTAATTATCTCCAGGTCCCTCCATGCTGTCTCAGAGGGTAAGAGATCCTTCTTTTTTACAGCTGCATAGTATTCCATTGTGTAAATTTACCACATCTTTTTTATCCACTCATCTCTACTGATGGGCACATGGGCTGTTTCCAGATATTAACTATTGTAAAATGGGCTGCTATGAACATATAGGTGCATATATTTTTTCTGATTGGTGTTTCAGGATTTATAGGGTGTATTTCTAGGAATGGGAGCACTGGATCAAATGGCAGTTTCATTTTTTATTTTTTGAGGAAGCTCTATACTGTTTTTCATAGTGGCTGCATGAGTCTGCATTCCCACCAAAAGTGCATTAGTGTATCCTTTTCTCCACATCCTCGATAGCACTTGTCATTTGTTGACTTGTTGATGGTAGCCATTCTGGCAGGTGTGAGGTGAGACCTAACTGTCAGTTTACATCTCTCTGATGATTAGACCCCAGCACCGTTTATTAAAGAGGCTTTCTTTTCTTCATTGTGTGTTTTTGGCTCCTTTGTCAAAAATTCATTGTCCATATACATATAGGGTTTTTCTCTGCTCTCAATTCTGTTCCATTACTCTCTGTGTCTGTTTTTTGGCAATATCATAAAACTGATTATGGGTCAAATGGCAGTTTCTGTTTTATGATATGGTAAAACAGAAACTGCCATTTGACCCAGCGATCCCAGTTCTAGGAGTATGCCCTATGAATCCTAAAACACTTGTTTTGATTATTGTTGCTGTGTAGTATAATTTGAATTCACGTAGTGTGATACCTCCGGATTTGTTCTTTTTTCTCAGCATTGCTTTGGCTATTCAGGGTCTTTTGTGGTTCCATACAAATTTAATGTTTTGTTTTCTTGTTGTTCTATTTCTTTAAAAAATATTATTAGGATTTTAGTGGAAATTACTTTAAATGGTAATATGACCATTTTGACTAGAGTCTTCCAATCTATGAACACGGAATATTTTTTCATTTCATTGTGTCTTTTTCAATCTCTTTTAATGCTTTGCAATTTTCGGTATGTAGGTCCTTCACATCTCTGCTATGTTTATTCCTAGGTATTTTATTCTTTTTGTTGCAATTACAAAAGGAATTGTTATTTCCACTTCTTTTTCTTAAATTTTATTTTTAGTATATAAGAATGCAGTGGATTTTTGTACATTGATTTTGTATCCTGTTACTTTACTGTATTAGTTTATTGTTTCTAATATTTTTAGTGGAGTGTTGAGGGTTTTCTATATAAAGAATCATGTCATCTGCAAAAACTAACAATTTTATTTCTTTCTTCCCAATTTGGATGCCTTTTATTTCTTTCTCTTGCCTGGTTGCTCTCACTAGGATTTCCAGAACTGTGGTAAATAAAAGTGGTGGGAGTGACTGTCCTTGTCTTGTTCTTGATCTTAGAGGAAAACTTTGAGTTTTCACCATTGAGTGTGATATTAGCTGAGGGTTTGTCACTTATGGCCTTTATTATGTTGAGGCACTTTTCTTTTATACCTATCTTGTTGAGTGTTTTAATCATAAATGGATGCTGTATCTTATAAAATGCTTTTTCTGCATCTGTTGATAACATTATATGATTTTTATCTTTTATTAATATGGTGTGTTACATTGATTGATTTACGTATGTTGAACCATCCTTGTGCCTTTGGAATGAACCCTTCTTGATCATGATGTATTGTTTTTTAATATATTTTTGTATTCGATTTGCTAGCATGTTGTTTAGGAATTTTGCATCTGTATTCATCAGAGATATTTTTTTTGTGTGTGTGTTATCCTTACCAGGTTTTGGTATTGGGTTTATGTTGGCCTCATAAAATGTATTAGGAAATATTGCCTCTTTTTCAATTTTTTGAATGTGTTGAGAAAGCTAGGTGTCCAATATTCTTGAATGTTTGGTAGAATTCACTAGTGAAGTCATCTGGTCTTAAACTTTTACTTTTGCTGAAGTTTTTGATGGTTGTTTCAATTTTCTTACTGTTGATTTTTCTGTTTAGATTTTCCAGTTCTTTGTAATTCAATCTAGGAAGGTTATGTAAACAACCAAAGTGTCCTTCAATAGATGATTGGATAAAGAAGGAGTGGTACATATATACAGTGGAATACTACTCATCTATAAGAAAAGGTGAAATACTGCCATTTGCGACAACATGAACGGATCTTGACAATATTATGCTAAGTGAAATAAGTCAGACAGAAAAAGTCAAGAACCACATTATTTCACTCATGTGGTATAATTGAAAGCAACGAATAAACAAGCAAACAAAAACTCATAGGCACAGACAACAGTAAGTTGTTACCAGAGGGAAGGGAGTTAGGGACATAGTAAAGGGTAAAAGAGTTTGAATATATGGTGACCGAAGATTTAACTTTGGGAGTAAGGCACATAATACAATATACAGATGATGTATCATAAAATCGTACACTTGAAACCTATATAATTTTTGGAACCAGTGACACCCCAGTAAATTTTATTTTAAAAAATAAATATCAGAAAAAGAAAGTCAAGGTGAATGAACCCTGTCCTTCTGAGTAGAAAATGTTGCAAAGATACTTAGGCATTTTAAAGCTATATTATTGTTTTAAACTACAGTTCAGTTCATCAATCCAGACTCTAGAGCACTAGATCATAATTACCAAACAGTACCTATGAGTTTTTTATAGTCTACATTTATTATTATTACACTGTGCAAAGTAAGATGATTATACTCTGAGAACATTAGGTTGTTGAAAATTTTTCAGGTATTAGTGTATGTCAGAAGTGTTTTTATTATATCTAGGGAGTAAGGTCTAATCAGGTGTTTTAAAAATAGCTTTTAAATGTTGTAAGAATTAACATTGTTCAAATAATCGCTTCATGGAATTCTTGCTGGCATCAATTTTAATATGCTTTTTATTGACGACATAGGTATGGAGTGGAAATCTTGTTATTTCATTAGTGAATACCTACTGGGTATAAGAAATAAAAAGTGATGTCTTTTGGGGAAAACAGTGAACAAATTTTCTCTCATTAGTGTTGACTCTTCATCTTACCCTGTATTTTGGAATCTCAATCTAAATTAGAGTCATGCTTAGTTTAAACAGGAAATTGCTTAATTAGTTCCTGTAGCTTTCCTTACTGTGCTCAGAAAATATTGAAAAATGTGTCAGAAATGTAATAAAGGCACTATTAGAGAACATTTAGAATTCTTTTGCCAGGATTTCTTCCAGTTCTGCACAACTACACTTGTATGTATGCCAAAGAGACCTCTTTCCTAGGTTTTTTGTTGATTTCAGCAAGCCTCCTTTCCCTTCTAAAGAATTTGTTCCCTGAAAAGCTTTCATTTAGTCTGTTGAATAAATAATATTTGGGAATCACTTTGGTACTTGAACTGGAACACTTTGTTCTTAGAGCCAGTAATTTTCCTGCATTTTAAATTCAAGTCAAGATATATCCAAAACACAGATCACTTTAGCTTTACACTAAGCATGAAATGGGGGGAAAGAAGGCATTGGGAAAGTTAGGGAGAAAGTATTTGTAATGGAAGGAAATTATTTTTATTATTAATGTAAATTTGTATTTCAAGATGTATCCTGATTCACTCAGTACTTCAAATCACCCTTTCCTTTACTTTCTTCATAGTATTTATCAATTTGTTATATTTATTGTCTGTCTCTGCTCTACTATAATGTCAGCTCCATGAAAGCAGGAATCTTTGTTTTGTTCACTGATGTATTCTAAGCACTGAGACCAAGGTCTGGCATATAGTAGTTACTCAGTCAATAACCCATGGACACAGACAATAGAATGGTGAAGACCTGGGGGGGCATGAGTGGAGTGGAGGGGGTCAATGGGGGGAAAAGGGACATCTGTAATACTTTTAACAACAAGAATAATTTTTTAAAAAAGGAAAAAAATGTGGACTCGGTGAATCCCATGATCTACCCCACTTCATCCCTCAAATTTTATATTCACTTCCTCCTGGTAATTATTACATTGCTATATTCCATATTAAGTAGGTAGGTAACTTATTGGTAAAAGTGATACTCTACTATCTAGTATGAAAAGAGAATTTTAGGAATTATATCTTGAAAATGCTTGAAGAAGTAATTTATAATGCTTGAGTTTTAAATAAATTTACATGAAACCCATAGTGTTCCACAGATGCCCACAAAATTTATTAAGGAATTGAGGATGGGGAACTTTTTAAGCACCCCTATGTTCGTAGCAGCATTATGTACAATAGTTAAGATATGGAAATAGCTCAAGTGCTCATCAGTAGATGAGTGAATAAAAAAGATGTGGTATATTTATACAATGGAATACTATAAGGCTGTAAAAAAGAAGGATCTCATACCCATTGAGACAGCATGGATGGGCCTGGAGAATATTATGCTAAGAGAAATAAGCCAATCAGAAAATGACAAGTGTCACATGATCTCACTCATATTTGGAATCTAAAGAACAAAATAAACTAATGAACAAAATAGGTCCAGAGACATGTAAGCATGGAACAGACTGATGAATCTCAGAGAGAAGGATTGGGGGGCGGGAACAAATTAACCAAAGAACTTATATGCTTATATGTATAGCCCATGGACACAGACAATAGTGTGGTGAAGGCCTGGTGGAGGCCAGGTGGAAGGGGGCAAAGTAGGGAAAATGGGGAACATCTGTAATACTCTCAACAGTAAAAATAAATTAAATATGTGTGTGTGTGTGTGCGCGCGCGTGTGTGTATATATATATGTATATATACACATACATATATATTTGATATATCTTTCTCAGATGGGAAAGCTGACAACCATGCCTACAAGTCTGATGTTTGCATCTGTAAGTGTGCATGCAGCCAAAGAAGAGGAATCCAAAAAGCAGCTAATGAAACCAGAGCAGGTAACTTGTGTGTAAATTTTTGTGAAATTTTTTATGACATAAATATGATAAAATGAGTTTTTATTATGTTGTTGTTACCCCTACTCATCAAAAATGTCTCTAAAGTATTTGTTAGGCACATTTTATAAATTGAGAGAAAGAGTTATAAGGTGTCTTGAAATAAACACTGTATTATATTTAACTCAAACGTTTAACATCCTAATTCCAAGGAAAAACAATTGGTGATTTTTCTCAATGAATAATCAATGAGTTGTACAGGGTATTAGTACTTTTAAGCAGTCTGATTTTTCTTCCTTGAAAATGTATACAGATACATATGATATTTGGAAGCTTTAGCTTAAGAAACTCATTAAGATCTCATTTTGCTATTTTTTAAAATATATCTTTATTGATTTCAGAGAGAGGAAGGAATACAGAGAGAGAGAGAGAGAGAGAAACATCAATGATGAGAGAGTTGTCATTGATCGGCTGCCTCCTGCATGCCCTGACTGGGGATTGAGCCCACAACCCGGGCATGTGCTCTGACTGGGAATCAAATCATGATCTCCTGGATCCTAGGTCAATGCTCAACCGCTGAGCCATGCCCAGCCGGGCACTCTCATTTTTGAAAGTGACTTTGTATGTTTTCTAGTTCTGTATGTTACTGTAATCCCCTCTACAATAGGTACACTAATGTGGCCATTTATCTTCTATGTGAATGTAACTCTGGATAAGAGAACCTAAGGCAATCCATTCACTTTACTGGCAGCTCTCATTTAATTTAAGGTCCTTCCTTAGGTCAGACAAACCTGTGTCACAATAAGTTCTACCCATTTACCCTGTATCTCTTGCATTGGTACCATACAGAAAAATTCTCATCTCTCTTCCACCAAACAACTCTTCAGATGTCAATTAAACTTTAAGTACTTTTGCTTCTTGGATAAGTATATTAGTAACTTTAGGCTTTCTTCATATGTCCATAGCTGGTTCCTTCACTCTCATGATCATTCTTTGACAAACATATTTGAGATGGTTAGCGTTTTCTTTGGGTGTAAATATTTTGACCACTGTTCAATAGAATCAGACTCGTAACTTCTCCTGTTCTAGATAATATATTTCTATTAAAGCTGCCTAAGATCACATTCGCTTTTATATATATATTTGTTTTGTGTCCTCACAATCAATCTTGCTTATTACCTTTAACCATGACATAGTGAACTTGTAGTTCTTAAAATTTATTAAACATTTTTATATAGGCTACTGCTAAGCTGTCTTTTCCCAATCTGTACTTATGCATATAGACATTTTGGATTCAGTTGCAGGTTTTATATATATATACCTGTTTAATTTTCATCTTGTTGATCTAATCTATCATGTAAGCCTTTTGATATCTAATTGTGGTTACTGATTCTGTCTCCATTGTACTTTTTCCTTTTCCAGCCTTAAGTTACCCTAAGATTTATCTACATTCTTAGAAATCTATACTTGAATCAGACAGGTCTGAATCTGAATCTCGATGCCACCACTATTTGGATGAAATTGGACAGAATTTTTATTGGTGTCTCAGATATTCTCTTGTATGAATGTGCCATTATCAAATGTGCAAGTTTCATAATTTTTTAAAATTTAGCATATTTCCAATAATTTGTTTACTGTAACGGTGCTTTTTCGAAATACTCTATACATAAAGCTGTATGTACATCTATAACTATTTCCTAAGAATAAATGTCTAGAAATTGAATTGTAGGTCAGAATGCATGAAAGTTTCAATACATTGCAAAACTGACATGTATAAAATTTAACAAAAATTACTTTCTGAGCTTCTGCATGTGTGTGCGGCTCTGCTCTAAGTATTGTATTATAACAATAAAACTGTAAACTTTTATTCTTTTGATTAGCAGTCTAGAATAGATTCACTTTCCTACAAACTTGCTATCTCTCAGCATTCTTTCTCCTCTTTTAGTCTTAGAGAGATGACACTTTTAAGCCTACCTTGACACTCCCATCTTTGGAAACCTCAAAATCTAGGTAGGAAGATAAGTAACTAGCATTTATCCCTAATAGCTGCATTTGCATATTTCTGAATTTTAAAATAAATTTGTGCTCTTTACTATATTATGGAATACACAGAATTCCTTGATATATAGTGTTTTCCCCAGTACATTTTAAATAGAATTTAATTGAATTACTTGTTAAAGCTAGTTGCACTAAGTGCTAGGGACTATTCACAAAGTCAGGACCCATTCTTTGAGGAACTTACAGTTTTTGAAGGAACGAAAATATGATTTGCATGCAACTTTTCTAGGTACTTTATTGTTTAAAGTGAGTTATGGAACTATTTGTATCTATTTACAATAAAGTTTCTACTAACCAAAACACTGTATGAATGAGGTGTTCTGGTTAGTTGATTCTTCTGATAAACTTGTGCCTAACTAAATGTCTTTTTTTAGTTCAATTCTTCTTGTTAAGCATCTTTTTAAAAAAGTATCAGTATACCCCTGCCTTATTAAATACCATCTAGTGAATATAATTGAATATCTCTTTACTAGAAAACTCTGGAGAGCCATGGGGTGATCAGTTTATTAAACCATGAAATTTGCAGTGTTCAGGTCTGTAAAATGACTGGCAATTGGGCTGTGTGTAGATCTCATCAGTCATCACTGGGTGTTTCTTTTTAAAATATTTGTATGATATGAGTTTGACTCATTTTCTTCTTACTTGCTTGTTTTCACCCCAAAATAATGGGAGAATATTGATTTTGGAGTTCTAGTTACTTTCATTCAATTTAATTTAAATGTGGTTTCATAGCTTACTGAATCTAATTGTAATTTTTGATCTAGTACAAGCAAGTTGTACTTATACAATATATAATGAGATTATTCTTCCCTCAGTGGAGACAGAATTCTCATAGTAGTCTTGAAATCTTTTTTTCAGCTTTATAGAGATATATTTGACAAATAAGAATTGTATATACAACTTGGTATTTTGACATATATATGCATTGACATACATATATATGCATTGTGAAATGATCACCACAGTCAAGCTAATTAAGATATTTGTAACCTCACATAGTTACCATTGTGTGTGTGTTAACACTTAGAGCTAGCCTGTTAGCAAATTTTAAGTGTTTAATACTGTATTGTTAACTATAGTCACTATACTGTACATTAGATCTCTGGAACTTATTCTTCTTGTATAAGTATACTCTTTGACCTCCTCATTTTCCTCTAACTCCACCCATGGTAACCACTATTCCACTCTCCTCTTCTGAGTCTGTTTCAGATTTTACATATAAGTGAGATCATATAGTATTTTTCTTTCTGTGTCTGGCTTATTTCACTTAGTATAATGTCCTTCAGGTTCATCTTTGTTCTCAAAAACTGGTGGATATCCCTTTGTTAAGGGTGCATAATATTCCACTGTATGTAAATGTGTGTTGTGTGTGTATACACGCATACACTATGCATTTTTAAACCTTGAAAATTGTGGTAGTCTATTATACAAACACACACACACACACACATCAAATAATCTGCTGACGAGCATTTAAATTGTTTCTGTATCTTAGCTACTGTGAATAATGTTGCAGTGAGTGTGGAAATGCAGCTATCTCTTGGAGATCCAGATTTCATTTCCTTTGGACATATTCCTAGAAGTGGTAAAGGGCCTTCTTTAAGAAGAAGAGTAAGAGAAGGAGGAAGAGGAGGAAGAAGAACAGAGGTACATAGTTAAAATAAAAAAGGGCAATACATATGTACCTATCAATAATCAGTTTAAATGTAGATGAACTAAATACTCCAATCAATAGGCATAGTGTAGCTGAATGGATAAGAAAGCAAGGCATATATATGCTGTCTACAAGAGACCCACCTCAGAACAAAAGATACACACAGACTAAAAGTAGAGGGATGGAAAAAGATATTTTGCATAAATGGAAAGGGGAAAAAAAGCCAGGTTAGGTTAGCAATACTTATATCTGACAAAAAAGACTTTAAAACAAAGTCTATACTAACAGATAAAGGACACTAATTATAAAGGCAACAGTCCAACAAGAAGATATAACACTTGTAAACATTTATTCACACAACATAGGAGCACCTAAATATGTAAAGCAAATCTTGATGAACATAAAGGGAGAGATTGCCAGTAATGCAGTCATAGTAGGGGATTTTTACACCCCATTGACATCAATAGATCTTCCAAACAGAAAATAACAAGGAAAGGGCAGCTTTAAAAAACACACTAGATCAAATGGATTTAGTTGATGTCTTCAGAACATTTCACCCTAAAGCTGCAGAATATACATTCTTTTCAAAGGCACATGGAACATTTTCTAAGATAGACCACATGTTAAGACACAAAATAAGCCTCAATAAATTTAAGAAGATTGAAATCATATCAAGCATTTTCTCTGACCATAGTGGTATAAAAGTAGAAATCAATCACAAGAAAAAAACTGAAAAACACCCAGAGACATGGATGCTAAATAACATGCTACCAAACAATGAATGACTTAACAATGAGATCAAGGAAGAAATCCAAAGATACCTTGAAACAAATGGAAATGAGAATACAACAACCGAAAATATATGGGATACAGCAAAAACAGTCCTAAGAGGGAAATTCATAGCATTACAGGCCTACCTCAAGAAACAAGGAAAATCTCAAATAAAAAATCTAACTTTACAATGAAAGGAACTGGGAAAAGAACAACAAAGCCCAAAGTGAACAGAAGAAAGGAACTTATAATGATCAGAAGAGGAATAAAGTAGAGTTTAAAAAATCAGTACAAAAGATTAATGAAACTAAGAGCTGGTGCTTGTAAAAGGTACACAATATTGGCAACCTTTAACCAAACTCATCAAGAAAAAAGGGATAGTATCCAAATAAATAAAATCAGAAATGAAAGCAGAGAAGTAAGAACTGACACCAAAGAATTACAAAGGATTGTAAGAAAATATTGTGAACAACTATAGGCCAACGATTTGGACAAAATGGATAAATTCCTAGAAACATACAATCTTCCAAAACTGAATCAGGAAGAATCAGAGAATCTGAATAGACAGATTACAACTAATGAAATTGAAGCAATAATAATAATAACCTCCCAACAAACAAAAGTACTGGACTGGATGGCTTCACAGGTAAATTTTACCAAACACTCAAAAAAGAACTAACACCTATCCTTCTCAAACTAGTCCAAAAAAATCCAAGAGGAGAGAAGACTTCCAAGCTTATTTAATGTGGCCAGCGTTATCCTAATTCCAAAACCAGACAAAGACATGACGAAGATAGAAAATTAGAGGCCAATATCTCTTATTAAAATAGGTGCTAAAATCCTCAACAGAATATTAGTAAACCAGATCCAGCAGTACATTTAAAAATCACACACCATGATCAAGTGGGATTTATTCTGGGGATGGAAGGTTGGTACAATACCCACAAATCAATAAACGTGATATACCACATATGCAAAATGAACCATAAAAATCACATGATCATATCAATAGATGCAGAAAAAGCGTTCGATAAAATCCAGCACCCATTTATGATAAAAACTCTCAGCAAGGTGGGAATAGAGTGATCATACCTCAACATAATAAAGACCATATATGACAAACACAGCCTACGTCATACTCAATGGGCAAAAACTAAAAGCATTTCCCCTAAGAACAGGAACAAGACAGGGGTGTACACTTTCACCACCCTTATTCAACATAGTACTGGAAGTCCTTGCCATAGCAATCAGACAAAAGGAAGAAATAAAAGGCACCCAGATTGGAAGGGAAGAAATAAAACTGTCGTTATCTGCAGATGACATGATACGGTACATAGAGAACCTTAAAAATTACACCAGAAAACAACTACAACTGATAAATGAATTCAGTACGGTAGCAGGATACAAACTACATATACAGAAATCAGTTTCCTTTCATACACCAGTAATGAACTATCAGACAGGGAAACAGAAAACAGTCTTATTCAAAATTGCATCAAAAAACAAAACAAAACTAGGACTATATTTCACCAAAGATATAAAAGACCTGTACTCAGAAATTTATAAGACACCGAAGAAAGAAATTACAAATAAATAGAGGCATATACAGTTTTAATTGATAAGAAGAATTTTTACATGACTTAAATGTCCATACTACCCAAAGCAATCTATAGATTCAACTCAATTCCTATTAAGATACCAATAGCATATTTTACAGAACTAGAACAAATATTCCAAAAATTTATATGGAACCACAAAAGACCCTGAATATCCATAGCAATCTTGAGATAGAAGTACAAAGTTGGAGAAATGCTACCTGATGTCAAATTATACTACAACAGTATGGTACTGGCATAAAAAGAGACATATAAATCAATGGAACAGAATGGGGAGCCCAGAAATGAACCCACACCTTTATGGTCAATTAATATTAGATATAGGAGGCAAAAACATACAATGGGGAAGAATCTCTTCAGTAAATGGTGTTGGTAAAATTGGACAGATATATGCAAAAAAAATGAAGCCACACCACCTTATTATACCACACACAAGATAAGCTCAAAATGGATTAAAGATTTAAATATTAGGCTCAAAACCATAAAAATCTTAGAAGAAAACATAGGCAATAAAATCTCGGGAATTTCTCGTAGCAATATTTTTTGTGATATATCATCTTGTGCAAGGGAAAGAAAAGAAAAAATAAACAAATGGGACTACGTCAAACTAAAAAGTTTTTGCACAGCAAAGAAAACCATCAACAAAATGAAAAGACAACCCACTGAATGGGAGAGCATATTTGCCAGTGAAAAATCTGATCAGAGGTTAATATCCAAAATTCATTAAAAAATTATTATACAACTCAACACCAAAAAATTCAATTAAAATATGGATAAAACTTGCCCTGGCCAGTGTGGCTCAGTGGTTAGAGTGTCGGCTCATGCATCGAGGGGTCACGGATTCGATTCCTGGTCAAGAGCACGCACCTGGATTGCAGATTCGATCCCTGGCCCTGGTCAGGGTGAGTGCAGGGGGCATCCAATCAATGTGTCTCTCTCACATTGATGTTTTCTCTCTTGCTCTCTCTCTTTCTGTCTCCCCTCTCCCTCCCTCCCTTCCACTTTCTCTAAAGAGCAGTGGAAAAAATATCCTCAGGTGAGGATTAACAAACAAAAAAATAATGGGCCAAGCATCTGAATATACACTTCTCTAAGAGGACATACAGATTGCCAGTAGTCATAAGAAAAGATGATCACTGTCTCTAATCACCAGAGAAATTCAAATTAATATCACAATGAGATATCACCTCACACCTGTCAGAATGGCTATCAATAAATCAACAAACAACATAGTGCTGAGGAGGACGTGGAGAAAAGGGGATCTTCATGCACTGTTAGTGGAAATGCAGATTGTTGTAGCCACTGTGGAAAGCAGTATGGAATTACCTCAAAAAATTAAAAATGGAAATACCTTATAACCCAGTGATTTCACTTCTAGAAATATATCTGAAGCAGCCCAAAACACCAATCAGAAAGAATATGTGCACCCCCATGTTCATAGCAGTGTTATTTACATTAGCTAAGATCTGTAAACAACCCAAGTGTCCATCAGTAGATGAGTGGATAAAAAGGCTGTGGTACATTTACACAGTGGAATACTACTAGGCTATAAAAAAGAAGGATATCTTACCCTTTTATGACAGCATGGGTGGACCTGGAAATCATTATGCTAAGTGAAATAAGCTAGTCAGAGAAAGACAAGTACCATATGAATCACACATATGTGGAATCTAATGAACAAAATAAAATAACCAAATAGAAACAGACTCATAGGTACAGAAAACAAACTTACAGTTGTCAGAGGTGAGGGGGCTTAGGGGCTACATGAAAAAACTGAAGGAATTAAGGAAAACAAAACAAAACTCATAGACACAGCTGCATGGTGATTACCAGAGGGAAAGGGAATGGGGAGAGTTAGAAGAGGTTATAAGGCGGATAAATGGTGATAGAGACTTGACTTGGTGTAGCGAACACACAGTATACAGATCATGTATTGTAGAATTGTACACCTGAAATCTATATAATTTTATTAACCAATGTCATCCCAATAAATTCAATTAAAAATATATATAATCAGTATTTTTAGTTGTATTTAACAGGAATATTGATGAAGATTCCTATTCTGCCATATTGTTGGAAAAGTAATTTCAGCTCTTTTATATTTTTGACATCACATTTTTTGTTTGTTTTTGTTTTCTTTTTGCCTCTAGCTCCCCATATATACTTCACCACCTCTCCAGTCTAAATATGTTGAAGAGAAGCCTGGTAATTTACAAATGAGCTTTGCCTCGATCCGCACTACAACTAGTCGTTATATTGGCTGGTGCAAGGTAAGTCTATTCTAATAGTTCAATTTTGGAGGATTTCTTATTTGTATTATGTACCATTTGTTCCAGTTACCCATTGATGTGCAACAAACTACCCCCAAACGTATTGGTTTTAAACAACAACCATTCTATTCTATTTCATAATTTTGTAAATCAGGAATTGGATTGGAGTTCAGACAGGTGATTCTTCTGTTGCATGTGGTGTTCACAGAGGTCACTCAGTGGTATTCATCTGGTGAATGGGCTGATCTAGAGAGTCCAAGACAGCTTCATTCTCATGTCTGGCAACTTGTCACAGATGCTAGAAGGCTGGGCTCAGCTGGGAATGTTGACTAAAGCACCTACATGTGGCCTCTCAGGCAAGGTGGCCAGATTACTTACATGGGCAGTTCAGGGCTCCTGAAGAAAATGTTACAAGAGGCCCTAGGCAGAATTTACCAAGTTTCCTACCTATCCTCAGATGTCCAAGAAAGTCACTTCTACAGCATTCTATTGTAAAGTCAAGTCACTAAGGACAGTCCAGTTTTAAAGGGACGGGGGAAATGCCACCCCTTTAAGTAGAAGCAAATAATTTGTGGCCATATTTATTCTCCTATACCACTACTTCATAGATTAAAGTAGTTCAACGAGCATTTATGTAATGTAACCTAACATGTACAAAACATTGTTTGGCCTCTTACATGAAGTTCTGAGATTACTTTTTAATTGTTTCTTATTTGACTGAGCAAAATTTTCACTTGTTTGTTTAGCTCATTAGACCAATTTGACTACAGTCAGCTATAGGGCAAAATAGAATTCACCTTATTTTAATACTTAGCTTCCAATCAGCATTACTCAGCAGCAGCAGGATGGAGTAAGCTGATATAGTACTGATGTTTCATTATCATCGCGTCAACATAGGTGTGTTAGCATCAACATCTCCAACGTCAGTATCATAATGATAATGCTGCTACCATTGTTTGCATCATTCTGACCTAATACCTACAACGATTTGCTTCAAATCTAGCCAGTTGTGAACTTTTATGCTTTTTGTTTCTAATCTATTCTTTGAAAAGAAAATTCTAATGATCTGATTGAATTACCAAATCTGTGAACTCTGGTCATTCCAGATGAGATTTAAAACATCTGATGAATATATGCTGTTATTTTTGAAAATGTTTACGTGTGAAAGAATTCTAATAGTACTACTGTACTGCACACTCTTAATAGTTTAATCTCAGAGTGAAATATCTTAACTAGTTAGGATCTGAATAATGCCAGCAGCTAGATGATTCACACTTTAGTCTCCTGAGACCTAATTTTCAATAGTGTTCTTAAAGTTATTTTTTCAGTGAGGTAAATTGTTCCTGAGAGATACTTAAATTGCTATTATAACTATCACCCAATTTAAGACTCGAAGAACTTTATATTCTGTTAATATGCTGAAACAATTAGGTTGAAGAAGGTCACTTTGAATGCATTTCATCTTCAATGTAAATAATGTTTCTTGCCTAATTTTCCTCTAAAAATATATCATTTAAAAATTACTTCTGGCCCAGCCAGGTGTGGCTCAGCGGTTGAGCATCGACCTAGGATCCAGGAGATCACAGTTCGATTCCTGGTCAGGGCACATGCCTGGGTTGTGGGCTTGATCCCCAGTTGGGGGCGTGCAGGAGGCAGCCGATCAATGGCTCTCTGATCATTGATGTTTCTCTCTCTCTCTCTCTCTCTCTCTCTCTCCCTTCCTCTCTCTGGAATCAATAAAGATATATTTTTAAAAAATTACTTCTGACTCAAATTACATTCTGCATTAATAACTGAATCATATAGGGCAAATTCAATTTCTACTCCTACTCCTTGATGATGTTTTGAAATTTAGATAGCAGTGACCCCCATGATAAAAGTGAATTCCTAAACTCAGCTAAGGAAAATTTTCTAAAATAAGTGACTAGTTTGCTTCTTCAGTAGTTACATGATATCCCAGTCAACTAGTCAATAGATATTATATGAAGGTGTTATTTTCTCAAGGGACAGTTCCTAAAGAGAAGTAACTCGGTGGCAGTTAGGGTCTATGTTGGTTTGTACAGCTTGAAACCATGGTGAACAGAATGAACCTGTGCACCTCTGAGCACCATGAAAATATCTAAGACAAAGTTACTAAAACCAAGATATCTCAATAGCAATAACTTATTCCTTTCCTATCTATTATACTCATTTCTACTTTTTTTCTTTGAAAATCTCTTTTGTTGTTTTTATTCCATTGTTTGATAGCAGCTGCTTTAGAGAAGGAAACCATATATTTAGATTGTGTTTTCTGGTTCCTTCCATGGAGTACAGCATGACTCTGGAAAAATCATTTCATGCCTTCATTTTTCTCCTGATGTAGTTGAGATAGTACCTATCACTCAGTAAATGTGTGTAACAATATTTCTTGCATTAAGATAAATTAGTTGGAAACAGGTAAAAGGAAAAATTTGATTTAAAGTTTTAATCCCTCCATGGGTTAATTAATCTTGATTTGTAGAGAATTTATGTTGCTATTTATAAACAAGATGGACACTAGCCTGTGTAGGATGATTTCTATCCTGAGATAAATGTCTTAATTAGTTTTTTTCTCATTCTAACCACTTAAAAAAAGTAGAAGATGTAGTACTTTTCTTTTGTTGTTGTTTTCTCCATACATCATTATGTTGTTGCTACATCTTTATTAATCAGATGTTGCTTCTAAGCTGAAATATACCTCTCTTTATGCTTTATTTAAATTCCATTCAATTTTCTAGGCCATTATAAAATCAGATGATAAATCTTTTTATTTTTGCAATAAATTTTATATGAGCTGCTCTGATTATTTTGTAGGCAGTACTTATTTCATATGAGGAAAATAGTAAACAAGTATTATCCTTGTAAAATAGAATGAAAAGCAAGAAATGAAGAGAAGCTAAGTTTAACAAATATCCTCATAGTGAATAAATAGGAAAGTTAAATTTAGATTTGGGTTCAATGCTAAGTCAACATTTTAATAAAATCTCAGAAATGTCAACGATTTGATCTAATTATCAACATATCCAAAAATGCAGATATCCTTTTCCCCCCTTTTTGCTTAGGGTGTTTATGTCTTTGTGAAAAATGGAATAATGGATACAGTTCAGTTTGGAAAAGGTAGGTGAGTAAACCATTTGTAATAAAGAATGTTCTATTGTCTTTTTAACTTGCAACATTTAAATGTGAGAAAAATAAACAGGGTATGTTATCCATTATCATGTTTTACCAACTGTAAAGATGCTCTGCATATCAGTTTATGATAATAATAACAAAACAATAGTATCTACAATTTATTTGGCTACTATTATATCCTAAGTTACTATGATAAGCATTTTACATAATTTATCTAATTTACTTTATTGTAGCAATTTTGCGACTGTTGGTATTTCAATTATTCCCCTTTTACAGATGAGGAAACTGGAGTTTAAAAAGATTAAGTAGGTTACCAAGACCACATAACTAGTAAGTGGCAGCACCTGCACTCAAACTGAGGTCTGTTTTATGTTATATACTCATAAAGCATAAATTAGAAACATGTCTCCATTGTTATCAATTAGTTTTAATAAGTGCTACTTACTGTTAAAATACATAGTATTTTGCTAATGATTGTTAGGAAACACTATACCAATCAGTCACACCCTAGAATATTTAAGCTAATGTTGGAAAGCAATTGTGTTTGAGTCTTTAGTTTGATAATGGTGTTTGGCAGTAGATATATCTTTCTCACCCAGTTGTCAAAATAAATGTATGGAGGACAAAAAGATCAACTAAAATTTTAAAAGTCGCCATGATATTGATGACTGGTATATGTATTATCATTATTTAATATATGTTGTGGGAATTAATTCCAAATTATATTTCTCATCAATCTTGAAGAATATAATTAAATAAGTGATTGCCATTAAATAATGAACAATGATGGAATGGACTGCATAGAACCAATACAATTTAAATATATAAAAACCAAGAAATCCAGACTTGTGCCCACTCTCCATCTACTTTTTACCTAGGCTCACTTCTCATCCCGATCATCTTTATTTTAACTAAGATCAACATTGGCTCTAAGGTTACTGGAGAGTAGTGGCATGCAGGATCTAGTGGCTGCATATATCCCTAGACTACTATTTAAAGTTCCCTAGTAAAGTATCTGTTTCAGTTCTTACCCAGATCCTACCAACGTTTGAGCAGATAAGGCCAGAATCATTTCTATTATAGATATATAGTATTTACACAATCAAGAATTTACTTTAATAGTAATCCATATTAAGGTATTGATTCTAGCATCATATTTCATTGAAGAGGAATAATAGCTTGTATTGTTAAGAAAGCAAATATGAAATCAGCTATAGAAGGAAGATTTAATTTTGTAACGATTATAACTAGCTTTTTAAGTTGCTGCTCAAATCATTATTTTGTGTAGCTCTTTGGAAGAGTGTTTAAACCATTTGCTATTATCTCTAACTTTTCTTTGTCTTACTATATAGAATGCCCAGTTGTAGTAAGTCATTTATATTAATTTTTAACTTATTTCTTGAGATGCATATGTTTATTTGAAGAATCCACCACGAGATTTTCTTCCAAAAGTCGGAGTGATTACAGTTTCAGGATTGGCAGGCTTGGTTTCAGCAAGAAAAGGTAGGATTTAAAAATATATATATATTGTCCTTTTCAATTACAGTATATTCTGAATTTTACTGTCATAGGAAAACCTCATATCCTTTATTGAATATTATTAGGATAGACTACCTTCAAACATTTAGATTCTATAGTACAGTATGATTACTTTTATTAAAAACTTTTTGTTTTTAAGGTTATAGCTATTCCAAAAGATGTTCAACATCATTAGTTATTAGAAATGCAAATGAAAACCACAGTGAGATACCACCACACACCTATCAGAATGTCTAAAATTAAAAAGACTAACCATACCAAGTATATTTGAGAATGTAGTGCAACAGAAACTCTCATACACTGCTGGTGAGAATACAGAATGGTACAGTCATTCTGGAAAATAGTTTGTCAAAAGTTAGTCATAAAGTTAAACATACATTTGCCATGAGACCCAGTAATCCCACTCTCGGGGATTTACTCTGGAGAAATGAAAAACCTGTACACAAATGTTAATAGCAATTCTATTTATAATCCCTGAAAGTTGGAAACAACCTAAACGTCTTTCAACAATTAACTAAACTATGGGACATCCATACAAAGGAATACGACTTGGGCAACAAAAGAATGTACTATTGATACATGCAACAATCTTGATGAGTCTGAGTTAAAGAAGCCATTCCAAAAAAGTTTAATATTGTATGATTTCGTTTATATAACTTTCTCAAAAAGACAAAACTATTGTGACAAAGAATAGGTCTGTGGTTCCCAGGGGTTAGGAATAGGGAGAAGGTGTGAATACAAAGAAATACCATGAACTATTTTTAGGAGCAATAGAGCTGTTCCATATCTTGATTGTAGTGGTAGTTACACAACTCTATACATATATTAAAATGGATAGAACTGTACACCAAAAAAAGAAGTTCCAGTAAGATGATTTTAAAATAAAAATTTTAAGAATATATAGTTATTCTTATTAATATTGTAATTTATTATTTTGTTTCTTATCTTCTAGATAACTATTTTTTTAAAGGTCTTAAGAGTAGCTATCTAAAAGAAAAAGGTCTTGAGAGTTTTATATTAATATAAAAATGTATACTAACCACTCAAACTACTTTTCCTTACCTAGTCATGACAACCAATTTTCTGGAAGCTATATTAAGGATTTGAGATAGAGATACTGACATATGAGGGGAAAAAAATGTATTCCCTCCTGGTCTTGAGATTGCTGGAACTGACATCAGCCAACTCAAAATGGAGTTTGGAAAGTGGACCACTCACTACTTTCAATTAGCACACGAGACTTGGTATATTGTATTTCTTTTCCCCCTCTTTGCACTCTGTATCTCAAACAAATTTGTCCTTCTTTCCCATTGTACTTCTTCTGTAAAGGGTCTCCAAGACCACCCCCAGGTTTTTCCATTAGCTAGAAAGACTGAGAAGACTCAGCCTACAGACATATTCATGGCTAAGATTTATTACAGTGAAAGGATGCAAAGTAATTCAGCAAAGGGAAAAGGCACGTGAGGCAGAGCTTAGAGGAAACCAGGTACAAGCTACCAAGAGTCCTTTCTCAGTGGAGCCATAAAAGGTGCACTTAAATCCTCCACTAATGACTTGTGGCAATATGCCTGGGATGTCAACCCGGGAAGCTCATTAGAGACTGAGTGACCAAGATTATTAGTAGGGGCGGGTCATGTACACACTGTCTGTCTAGCATCTACCCAAATTCTAGACTCCCAGAAGGAAAGTAGTTGTTCATCAAAAACCACATTTTTTGTAAAGACAATTTAGGCACAGTGTACCAATCTTATCAATTAGGGAATGTTTTCTATCATTGTAAGGGACTGCTTACCAATTTAGTTCCCAGATGCCAGCCAAGAGCCAGCCTTGCAAACAGGCCTTTCTAACAATGGCAGTCTTGGATATACTCTGTTGACTCTTTTTCTGCACATCATTAAATAACTTTCTTTCATAAGTATGTGGTGAATTTTATATTTGCCCATCATCCACCTCTGGTTATAGAAACTCTCTCAGTAGGCATTACTCTTTCCTCTCCTCAGTCAAGCCTCTTCTAAGCTGATGCAGTTCTCTTATCAGTAGCCATTTTGGTCACCTTTCATTCATCCTCTGTCCACAACTAAGTTGCCAGTCATTGTCCCCAAACTAAATTACATGGGGTTGGAAGTCACAGCTCTGAACCAGTCTGAAATCTGATATCAGGTAACTTTATGGTTGATTTGCCTAGCTTTAGTCCTTAAACTTGTTTTTACTTTCCCTAAACTGTAAAGTTGCCTGCAAACATTGCCAGATGTTTTTCACCTTAGTCTTTACTGATATATCAGGTTGTTTCATTTTTAAATTAAGGAATGTAAGAGTTCCAGAGAATAAGAGTACTTATCCCCAGTTATAAATTCCATCCTCTAATTGCCCAAATCATATTTAAAGAGCTTAAGGTACCCAGACAAGCATTTAAAGATACATACTGTTTTTTTTTATTAAATTTTTAGGGGTGACAATGGTCAATATAAACATAGGTTTCAGATGTGAGTTTCTGTGTTACAAGATCTATATATTGTTCTGTGTGCCCACCACTCAAAATCATATCTTCTCCTGTTACCATATGTTAAGTTCCCCTTCACCCCCCATTCCCTTACTCCTGGCAACCACCACACTACTGTTCATGTCTACAAGTTTCAGTTTTATATTCCACATATGAGTGAAATCATATGGTTCTTAGCTTTTTCTGACTGACTTATTTCACTAGCATAATATTCTCAAGGTCCATCCACATTGTCACAAATGGTAGTATCTCTTCTTTTCTTATGGCTGAGTAGTATTCCATTGTATATATGTCCCACATCTTCTGTATCCAGTCCTCTATCTCAGGACACTTTGGTTGTTTCCATGCCTTGGCTACCTTGAATAATGCTGCAATGGACATAGGGGTGCATATATCTTTGCAAATACATGTTTTTAAGTTTTTGGGGTATATACCCAGGAGAGGAATTGCTAGGTCATAGGTAAATCTATTCTTAATATTTTAAGGAATCACCAGACTGCTTTCTATCCATAGTGGTTATACCAGTCTACGTTCCCAACAGCAGTGAATAAAGGTTCTCTTTTCTCTCCACCACCTCTCCAACACTTGTTATGGCCTGTCTTGTTGATAAGATACATATTGTTTTGTACCAATGATCTGTTGGAACTAAGCTATGGCTTAGAGTGGTGCTTTCAAACTATTCTACAGAGCCTAGGGTTCAATGGGAATTTGGGGGTGGTATGAGGAAAAGGGAAAAGCTATGCAGGTAGGGATCAACACTGGGCTTTTCTCCTGCAGGCTAACCAGAGTAGTTTCAAGTTTATTGGTTTTATATACAAAGTTTCTATTGACATTCTATCTCTAAGGTTTATTTTGAAAAGGATTTTACTGTTCAAAATAGTTTGAAAAATGACTCTTAAATGCTTATATAAGACACTTTTACAAATGAATTATCTCAAGTTACTTGCAATTATTAAATTATTACTCCACTATCCTAAGTTAATGATATGAAGGAGTTATATACTTTTTATAGTCCTTAGCTGATTATTTAATTGGATCTTTTACCTTCTTAAACACTTAATCATAAAAGGATATATAAAGAAAGTCCATTTCAGTTTAACATATCTTAGGACATGAAAAGATACCTAGTTTAAAAAAAGAAGAAATCATCAATCCCCTTTGTGTATGTAATTATGTTACATTGAGAATACTTTTCTTAAATTGGATGTGACAACTAAGGGGTATTAATTGAATTGTGATCCTTATGGACATCTTGATTGGTATTATTACCTAATGGGTAATTTAACATTGGGTGATGGCTTAAATGGAAACAAAGAGAATGTTAAAATTATAAAAGCATCAAGTTTCTGATAGCATCCATTAGGAATTTAATAGTTTGTTTGAATTTCTTAGGTTCTAGATTTAAGAAAATTGCTTATCCATTGGGACTGGCCACTTTAGGAACAACTGTTTGTTACCCAGTTCAGTCTGTAATAATTGCAAAGGTAAGTTGTTTTTAAATGAAAGCTGCATTTCAGTATTTATTTAAACTCTTGGTATGGCAATATTTAAATGTCATATAGTACCTGCAAAATTTAATTTTCAGAGAAATAAAGTTAATATCAACTCTTAAATTGGCAGAGTCACATTAACATCTCAGCATGGTAAATGCAATTTCCAACTATATGACCATCACAAATAAGATGAATTTGTTTCAGTGTAATTCAACATTATACATGCTCTTTGATGATTAAGTTCAGAGATACTGAATTAGAATTTATGGGGATAAGTACCACTCTATTGTAGAGCTACGTAAAATTGAAATAACAGAAAATTACACCTACTGGCAGCTGTCAGTTCAACAGATTAACATAATGCAAGAAACAGCCATTTGATAGGTACCCAGACAAGATAACAGAAGCTTCTGAAAGTGAAAAAAAAAATACAGACACATATACAAACTCAATTTTGAAACCATCTGGAACTAAGTAACACTTTCCATGAAAATCCATATTATAGCTGTTCTGTCGTTTTCTTGTGAGCTTGCCTACAAATCCAAATATTTTCCTAGTAATTTTAAGAGCTGTGTCACTATTTTACTTTATTTTAACACATATTCAGAGTGAGAAGGAGAGCTTTGGAATGTGCAGTTTTTTCTTCCTTTCCTTCTTCCCTTAATTACCAACATTTAACATTTAACAAACACTTGCTCCTCACACTTGAAGCAGTGTGTAGTATTACCAAAAGGACATCCTGTACTTGTATTATCATTATGGCCTCTTTTCAATTATTGATGTAGATAAAACTGCGTATTTAGTATTTTGAGGATGTCAAGGATATAGTGTCCTGTGCAGTTTGTAATGGAATTAAATTATAACAGCGAATAGCAAATAAAAAGAGCATTATTCATTAAATCTTGTTAGACTTGAGATAATTGTTGGATAAAATGATACATTTAGTTTTTTAAATCTTTCTTAAAATTTATGCAAGAATTAGCCACTTAAATTCATGTAATATCTGTACTGAAAGAAACTTTTGAGCTCATTATATTCAACTTTTAACAGTAAGAAAACTGTGGCCCAGAGAAGTTTCACAGTGACTAATTTGTCTAGGGTTCTGTTCAGCTTCAGGTGTTGTACTTTCCTGTCCATTGCTGTTCCCAGTGCATGATACTGCCACTGATTCTTTTGTTTGTTTACAATAATAACTTCAGGTGTTTTTTTATAAAATTGATACCTACTCATCCTTAAATAATTTAAGCATTATAAAAAAAGTGTAGGAAAAATCAGACTAACCCCCTGAAATATTTCCATTTAGAAAAATATCAGTGTTAAAATTTCATAGAATGTTATTCTAGTCATTTTTGCATGCCAGCACAGAGATAGAAAAATAAATGGGTGAATAGGCAGATATAGTTTTATAAGAACAGGATCATAGTATGCACCTTATTTTTAATTAAAAAATAAAGTATTAAATTCAATTTTACTTTGACAGAAGGAAATAAAAAGAAAAGAATTACTGATATTGAAATAAAAAATTTCTATGTTCAAAGAGTTATTAATATGAGTTCCTAAAAGTTCTTTTGTGGTTAAATAATAATTCTTAAATTTCTAGAGTTGGGACCCTTGTTTTTATTTTAACTGTAATATAACAATGTCATATGTAACATTTGGTGGATTCTAATATATATATAACATGGGTTCTTAACCTGAGCTTTTTAAGGAAGTTTAGAGAACCTGTGACTTGCCCACCTGAGACCATATGAAAAATTCTATGTATACAATAGATGCTTTCTAATTTGATATTATCAGGATCAGTAGTTAGGAATTAAAAATGTTACAACAGGAAGTTTTTTAAAAGTTATAAATATATAATGTAAATATATATCAAATTAAAACATAAATGTATATTCATTTTTCTGTCTTTGAAGTAGGGCTTTTCTATGAGTATGGGTCTCCTGGCTGAAGGTCAATAGCATCTTTTTTATAGTTAGCCATATCTGTAATATGTCTTCTACTGTTTCAGTTTAGGATTTTAAAAAATAGAATGAGTACTTAAAACATTTTATAAATAATATGAGAGTAGAAACCTGTTAGATTTTTATTTTTTCTCTAGCCTTTTATAGTTGTCTTGGTCACCTCTAATTTGACAGCAGTTACCTTTTTTAGTAATTCACTTTAAATTTTTTAAATTAGATTTATTAGGTGACATTGGTTAATAAAATTATATAAGTTTCAAGTGTAAAATTCTATAATACATCTGTATATTACCTTGCTTCTTTACCACCCACAGTCAATTCCCCTTCCATGACCATATATTTGACCTCCTTTAAACTTTGCTATTCCCCACCTCTCCTTTCCTCTGGTAACCACCATACTGTTGTCTGTGTCTATGAGTTTCTGTTTGTTTTTGTTCATTTGTTGCTTTCAATTTTAAATCCCATGAATTTGACCTTAAAGGCAAGGGAAGCAAAAGCAAAAATAAATGAATGGGACTATATCAAACTAAAAAGCTACACAGCAAAAGAAACCATAAAGGAAGCCAACAAAAAGGCAACCAACCAAATGGGAGAAGATACCTGCAAACAACATCTCCAACAAGGAATTAATATCCAAAACATGTAAAGAACTGATGCAACTTAACAACAAATAAAACAATGACCCAATTTAAAAATGGGCAGAAAACCTAAACAGACAGTTCTCTCAAGAAGACATATAAATGGCCAATAGATATATAAGAAGATAAACAACTTCACTAGCTATTAGGGAAATGAAAATCAAAACTACAGTGAGATACCACCTCACACCTGCTAGAATGGCTATTATTAATAAAACAAGTAATAACAAGTGTTGGAGAGGCTGTGAAAAAAAATGGAACCCTCATTCACTGCTGGTGGGAACGTAAAGTGGTACAGCCACTATGGAAAACAGAATGGAGGTTTCTCACAAGATTAAAAACAGAGTTACCATATGACTCAGCAACCCCTCTTCTAGATATCTACCAAAAAAATTTGAAAACATTTATTTGTAAATATATGCATCCTGTGTTCACTGCAGCATTATTCACAGTGTCCAAGACATGGAAACAACCAAAGTGTCCTTCAGTAGATGATTGGATAAAGAAGGTGTAACATAAATACAATAGAATATTACTCAGCCATAAGAAAAGATGAAATACTGCCATTTGCAACAACATGGATGGAGCTTGAGAATAGAATGCTCAGAGAAATAAATCAGATGGAAAAAGTCAAGAACCATATGAATTCACTCATATGTGGGATATAAAACTTGAAAGTAATACACTTTTGAATCTTTACAAAGTATTTAGCTTAATTTCCCTGCACACAACAACAATTCTTTCACACTCATTTCATCATATTTTGTTACATTTAAATTGTTTAATTGTAGTAAAACTGATGTAGAGACTTGGAAACAAATAAAACTTATTTTCAGTAAGCATATGACCTGTGAAAGACAGTATTTGAACATAATGGAGAGTATTCATTAGCAGTGAATATTCAGCATTCTATGAACATCATTTATTATAAATTTTTAAAACATCTTTAATAAGATGAGTCTCTTAAAAGGATGTGAGCCCTAGGTGGTATTGTTCATTGGTTAGAGCATCAGCCCATGCACCAGAAGGTCTTGTGTTAGATTCCCAATCAAGGGCACATACCTGGGTCGCAGATTCGATCCTTGGCCCTGGTCGAGGCACGTGTAGGAAGCAACCAATTGATGTGTCTCTCTCACATCAATGTTTGTGTCTCTCTCTCTCCCCCTCTCATTCCCTTCCACTCTCTTTGCAAAATCAATGGAAAAAATATCCTCAGAAGTCAGGGGAGAGCTCTTCTACTGTATGTGTATTTTTCTGAAGGAAACGTCCCATGCCTTTCAAGAGATTCTCCGAGGAGTCTATGATGTTGAAAAGTTACAAAACAATATCCAGAAGATCCTTTGAGAAATAAAAGTAACACTCCATTTAGTCACCATTTTAGAAGTACACTTCAAGATTGGATTACTCTTTGCTGTTTATATTTTCCTTCACAGTAAAATAATAAGTAATTTGCCTTTGAAAACTATAAAACACTTAGGAATAAACTTATCAAATAATGTTTTAAAACCCATTTTTTAAAGCTATTAAACCTAACTGAAGAGCATTTTTTTTTAACTTGACATTTAGAGATATATTTTGTTTCTGGATAAAATGACTCAATATTAGAAAATGGCAGATGTTCCCCAAATTTTAAATTTAATACACCTCTTACAAAATTTCTGGATTTGGAGTCAATATGAAATTAATTCAACCAGTATTTGTTGTCCATCTCCCATGTATTAGTGACTATACAGCATAGACAATGAAATAAAGAGAACAAAAGAGAATGTTCAAAACCAATTATATTGAATACATCTTTGTATACATTGTAGGGAAAAGGAGGGTATGGTAAAGCTGGCATTTTAGGTCAGTGTGTAAAGAAGGATTGGAATGTTTAAGAGATGTGTTGGAATAATTGGGATTTTGGAAAAATACTTAAACCTTTACCAGATATCGTGCAAAACTAAATACCAGGTGGAATGAAGATCTAGTCATAAAATATACTATAAAAATATTAGTGTTTTGTTTTGTTTTGTTTTTACTGCTTCAATTTCACTAACAGTTATTTTCTTACTCAGGTTTTCTGATTCTTCCTGATTCACTTTTGGAAGATTGTATGTTTCTAAGAATTTGTCCATTTCACATAGGTGTTCCAACTTGTTGGCATATAGTTCCTTGTAATATTTCTTACAAACCTTTGTGTTTTTGTGATGTCAGTTGTTACTTCACCTCTTTTGTTTCTGATTTTATTTTTGGGGGTCCTCTCTCTTTGTTTCTTGATGAGTCTGGTTAAAGGTTCATCAATCTTGTTTATTTTTTCAAAGAAGCAGTGCATCGTTTCATTGATCTTTTGTATTGTTTTTTAGCTTCTATGTCATTTACTTTTGCTCTGATCTTTATTATTTCCTTC